GTTGATAAATTCATGTCCAGTGTAAAATCTACTTGGAGACAAGTTCGAATGTTGATTATTGTACTTGGAGTCTACTTTTCACTCTCTACACCGTTCATAGTGATGAACATATATTTGTACGTTCACAATGCCGACCTCGAGTTTTACGAGTCTGAGACTGCCAAAGCTATTTCAACCATTTACGATGTTCAGCGTGGAGCCAACTTGCTCACCTACTGTCTCCAAGACAGAAACTTCAGGAATGTTCTCAAGAAGTGGGCAATGAAAGCCAAGTGTGGAAGAATTGTTCCTCTAAACATTTTACCTTCACATGAAGACTGAAACTACCGTGTCCCTTTCTACGTCAAAAAAAAAAAAAAAAAAATAGGTGAAACAGATTCTTGGTTATTTTCTTGTGTGATTTACTTTCTGGGTTGTTCTGAATCGTCCCGTGTCATACAGAAGCACTGGCAGTTTTCCCTGAGGTAAATGGAGCTTCCATGACATCCATTTACATCAGTCCCAGACCTATGTTCAAGGGATACTATCTTTCTCAGCACAGTCGCTGTGACAGCACCAGTTTACAGCCACACAAATCTATGTTCACGGAATACCATCTTTCTCAGCACAGTCGATGTGACAGCACCAGTTTACAGCCACACAAATCTATGTTCACGGAATACCATCTTTCTCAGCACAGTCGATGTGACAGCACCAGTTTACAGCCACACAAATCTATGTTCAAGGAATACCATCTTTCTCAGCACTGTCGCTGTGACAGCTCCAGTTTACACCCACACAAATCTACGTTCACGGGATACCATCTTTCTCAGCACTGTCGCTGTGACAGCTCCAGTTTACACCCACACAAATCTATGTTCAAGGGATACCATCTTTCTCAGCACTGTCGCTGTGACAGCTCCAGTTTACACTCACACAAATCTATGTTCAAGGAATACCATCTTTCTCAGCACAGTCGCTGTGACAGCACCAGTTTAAAGCCACACAAATCTATGTTCAAGGGATACCATCTTTCTCAGCACTGTCGCGGTGACAGCAAAAGTGAACACTCATACAGATCTGACATGCAACCACCAGTTTACATCCACACAGATTTGTCCTGCAGTAGTGTTCCATGGACAATGCATATTTACAGCAGAGCGTTTTCTTTTTTAAATCACACAACTGACTGCAATAAATACCGCTTATATTTTTTTCTAATGCTCAGTCAGTTGACCCCGGACAAGGTTAACGCTGACTTTTCTACGTGTAGAACCAACTTCTACCGCTTCGGTTTGAAAGTAATATGAAGATTACAACCCCCCCCCCCCCCCCCCCCCCCAACTCTCTCTCCTCTGCGTCTGGTTACAAGCATAACGATATATGTCATATTTGCATGAGGGGAAACATAACTGTTGTTTTAAAATATCAAAATTCACAACTTTTGCTATCATTGTCAGATATCAAGAGAAGAGCTGAAGTAATCAGCTCTTTTCCTTCTCATATCTATGGTAGTGGTTAGATATAAGCAACTATCTCCGGCACGGGGCACACTACATTGTTTGTGGCTACTGCACTAGACATGCGGCCCTAAATCCCCAGACCCAGGACTCCCCTGGCCTAGGCCGCCCCACGACCTGGCATATAAAACAGTCAAGGCACACAGATCTCAATCAATAAAGTCTTGCTAGTTGGGTACACAGGATTTCATTTCTGGATCTCATTCCATGACTGACCTTATAAAGCCATCATTGTTACCGCAGTTTACAAGTAACTACTGTATCTATTGGTTGTAGGTTTACTTGCACAGTCACCTCAATGTCAGTGAACTACTGACACATTCGTGACGGTGCTACATGTAAGACTTCGACTGGTTTCTGGTCGTCATCATTAGTTTGTTGACTGTTGGTTTCTGGACGCCATCATTAGTTTTGTTGACTGTTGGTTTCTGGACGCCAATATCCTTTCCCTAGTTCACGACCAACAATTATTACTACAATTTCCAGAGAGTTTCTTACAATCTCGTGACGCATGTAAGTCTTTGTTTAGTTTCACCACAGCCAAGACAGCCCTCATTTCTGACTGTGTCTGCCAAGTTGTACTTTTATTCATGAGGACAATCCTTGGTCTTCATAAACTGGCGCACAAGCACATCTGGCTGGCTCAGTGTTTAAAAAAAAAGAGATACCATAATGTAATAAGTAGACGATACAACATTTGTACTTTTTTGACTTCATACCTGAAAATGGAAGAAGACAACAGAAGAAGACAACAGAAGAATAAGAATAAGAAGAAGCAGAAGAAGAAGAAGAAGAAGAAGAAGAAGAAGAAGAAGAAGAAGAAGAAGAAGAGGAAGAAGAAGAAGAAGAAGAAGAAAAAGAAGAAGAAGAAGAAGAAGAAGAAGAAGAAGAAGAAGAAGAAGAAGAAGAAGAAGAAGAAGAAGAAGAAGAAGAAGAAGAAGAAGAAGAAGAAGAAGAAGAAGAAGAAGAAGAAGGAGAAGAAGAAGAAGAAGAAGAAGAAGAAGAAGAAGAAGAAGAAGAAGAAGAAAGAAGAAGAAGAAGAAGAAGAAGAAGAAGAAGAAGAAGAAGACGAAGGAGAAGGAGAAGCAGAAGGAGAAGGCAGAAGAAGAAGAAGAAGAAGAAGAAGAAGAAGAAGAAGAAGAAGAAGAAGAAGAAGAAGAAGAAGAAGAAGAAGAAGAAGAAAAGAAGGAGAAGGAGAAGTAGGAGAAGTAGAAGAAAGAAGAAGAAGAAGAAGAAGAAGAAGAAGAAGAAGAAGAAGAAGAAGAAGAAGAAGAAGAAGAAGAAGAAGAAGAAGAAGAAGAAGAAGAAGAAAAGAAGGAGAAGGAGAAGTAGGAGAAGTAGAAGAAAGAAGAAGAAGAAGAAGAAGAAGAAGAAGAAGAAGAAGAAGAAGAAGAAGAAGAAGAAGAAGAAGAAGAAGAAGAAGAAGAAGAAGAAGAAGAAGAAGAAGAAGAAGAAGAAGAAGAAGAAGAAGAAGCAGAAGGAGAAGGAAGAAGAAGAAGAAGAAGAAGAAGAAGAAGAAGAAGAAGAAGAAGAAGAAGAAGAAGAAGAAGAAGAAGAAGAAGAAGAAGAAGAAGAAGAAGAAGAAAAGAAGGAGAAGGAGAAGTAGGAGAAGTAGAAGAAAGAAGAAGAAGAAGAAGAAGAAGAAGAAGAAGAAGAAGAAGAAGAAGAAGAAGAAGAAGAAGAAGAAGAAGAAGAAGAAGAAGAAGAAAAAGAAGAAGAAGAAGAAGAGGTATTTATTGAATGCTTACATTTTCTCATATTTCCTACACTGGTTGAAAATTCAGCTTCATTTACAGGCTACCCGGTTTTATTCTTTTTAAGTTGTCATAAATTATGAAGTCAAAACGAAAATCATTATCATCAAACAAATGCTGAGTAATAAATTTCAGTTATGTCAAAGGAATTTCAATTTTGTCCAAGGAATTGCAGTTTAATTGCAATGTGACAGCAGACCGCTTGCTTTGATTTTGACAACATTTTGAGAGTTGTACTGTTCAGCAAGCAATGCCAAACTATCCGGCATAAAATTACCTAGTGAAACTTCAGACAGGCAACACAATATTACATTGGCTTTTAAAACACGTGAGCTGACATGTAATGTGTACAATACGTGTACATAAATGCACTATGTCTATCTATACCCTCTTCATGAAGATGTAGGCACATAGGGCACTCACCAGTGATCTGCACTGATGCTTATCTGCTGCTGTTCCGCTATGTTATCTCATTAAAATTTTCAGTTCCTTGATTTTCCTTTCTACCGTCCTTTTCCAGGTTTCCCTAGATCGTCCACGTTACCTGTGTGTCTATGCGGTCGATCGGAGCGCCGTTACTGCCAGCGTTCATGTGGCCTTCTGCAAACATCTCCATCTTTTTCTGTTTCGCCTTGTTAGCGTATACTTTTTTTTTTAAAGGTCAAATACATTTATAATTATACTGACTGTTTTACATTCATATAATCATAGTGTAAATAATAATGAAAAAAAAACTTATGTAAAGATTGGCTTATTTCTAATGTATTATTTATGTAAGCTCAAATTTAAAATTCAAAGGAAAGACAAGACCGGCATATAATCAGACTGCTATTATTACCATCGGAACTCTTCACTAGCTGCTGACGGTGGGGCTTGAGCGCTTATGGGAATGTTCCTAACACTGTCATGTCGATTCTTCACTCATCTCAACATCTATGAAATGGAAATGCGCTGTTTGAGCCACTTTGCAACCCATTACAAGTTAAACAGAAAAAGCAAATACAGACAACCCAACAAATACCAAAAGCATTATACAACTATCTTGTACTGATGCGGATAGGGCAACAGACAACAGAAATACCACTGTGTCCATTAGTTGCCATGGTAACCGGATTGTCTAATGTCGTAAAAGGGGAGAAGGTTGGTGAGATCAACACATCGGTACATTAGTTCAGTAACATCGGCTGTGGATTGAATGCCGTGTATTTGTTCAAGCGACTGTTCATCTACTCTAGTATTGTTTCGTGGTGTGACAGGTCACTTGTAATCTCCTGGCAGCAGAAACGGAAACTCGAGTGGCCCCAACGTGACAGTTCAAATTCATCAACTGAGCAGACATAAGCATAAATTATCAATCTGACAATTTACAACTTAAGAGAATATATAATACCTCTGTAATATGTTCTGTCAGGTCATATTTAAACTGACTCTTTGATCTTACGAAGCGGTAGTATCACACATGGATTGTACAACCCTGAATTCTACATCTGAAAACATTGTCAACGTAACACCGTCCCCATTTGATGTAGAAATTAGTAACATTACTAATGTCCTACTGAATACCACCTACATACTGTCAAACATCCTGATTATTTTGGCAGTTGCACGGACCAAAAATCTACATACAGTAGCTAATGTGTTTGTATACTCGCTGGCAGCGACTTATCTTCTCCTCGCTGGTCATAGATGTCAGTAACACACTTTTGTTAAGTTCATTTTACACAAGCGTGAGCAGAAATGGTACAGCATGTGTGTATTTATGTTTCGTCAGTTTCGCCATAGTCAGCAGTCTCTACAATCACTTTATGATTGCCTTTGAACGTTGGCTGTATATAGCTCTGCCATTTGTACATCAAAGAGTGGTAACCTACAGATCAACAGCTTGCGGAGTTATTTTATCCTGGCCAATCGCCCTGCTGGTCGGTGTCAACTTTCTTTCAGCCACATGCACAAAACAGTTTCTAACGGAAAACCTAAACGGGTTCTATTCCTTAGCTATATCAGTACTTCACTTTATTTTAAGTGCATCTATGTTCATTATTTACGGGCACATTGCAGTCATCACGAGAAACCAAATGAGAACTATTAAGACATCTGCCGTTTTGAAGCCAGGGAACTCGAGAAATGAAGCTGATGCAATCTTGTCCAGTGTAAAATCTACGTGAAGACAAGTTCGAATGTTGGTTATTGTGTTCGGGGTGTACTTTCTACTCACGTCACCTTTTATAACAACGAATATTTATGTGTTTATTCATAATATCGACCTGGCATTTGATGAATCAGTTTACGGTTGAGTTGTTTCAACGATCTACCAGGTTCAGTGTGGAGCCAACTTTCTAACATACTGTTTCCAAGACAGAAACTTCAGGAGCGTTCTTAAAAGATGGTTCATGAAACCGTTCTTAAAGAATAACTTTGGGAGAGTTGGGCCTCTGAACATTGTCTCGTGATTTGTACCGGAAAAGGTAAACTCGCCATAATTTGCTATATTTTTAAAAAGGGGGGTGGCGGGGGGAAAGGGGGGGGGGGGAGTGGAATGGGGGCTCAATAAAATACCAGGTCAACATAATCATCTAATTTTTGTTTGAAGGTTGCTTTTCTATTGTTTTCAGATGAGTATTTACTGGGTATTCCTAACCCAAATCTCTGATAAAGAATGACACATCCATTTGTTTATCTGACGCAATAATTAGGTCTCTTGTCTAAATAACCACCTATCAGTAGTCAGATTGAGTTCGCCGGTTGCGCTATCTGCAATAATCAGTAACATATTTACTCTGCTTTTTATGTGAACTCATTTGATAAAAGCAATGATTGCCATTTCAACATCATCAGCACAAAATGACGTAGTGGTTTTGGGATTTGACAAAATACACGAATTCGACTTTCATTGTTGAGCGATTTCTCGGCGCGAGTGTAAGCTGGCGTTTGTCAACAAAGTTGCGGCGTTTGGCCTTCCTGAGCTAGCGACGCATACCCACCACTCTGTTGTAATGCCAGTAATAATATGAGAAAATCTACAACAACGTTAACTACCCGTAGAACTCACATACTATATGTAAGGTTAGCGTCAGTAGCTTTGTCAGTCGACATATTATTTTATCTGTGTACCGAACCAGTGAGTCCTGAAGTTCTTTGACTCTTTCTTCACTTAATCAGCAGTCTGTTCCTGCTGACCTCTCCTAAAGGTAAAATTTTAACTTACAACCGTTTGGTGCACATGAAAGATAAACGTAAAATCATATAGTCATGTGTATGAAATTGGATCGGCAAAAACAGGCACATATTTTGAGAATAAACAAACATGTTTTATCATTGGATACAATAATTAAGGTTTCCGTAAGTCATTGATCTTTTGAAGCGGTATAGACACACATGGCTTGTTCCGAGGTCAATTCTACATACTGAAGCCTTCAAAACATAAGATCGCCCCGCGTTGATTCACCACACATTAAACTTACTGATGTGGTCATGAGTACCACCTATATATTGTCAAACGTTATAAATATTTTGGCAGTTGCGCAGAATAAAAGTCTACACACAGTTTCAAATGTGTTCATTGCCTCGCTGGCCGCGAGTAATCTGCTCCTGGCTATCGTCATAGATGTCAACGGAATACTTTTGTTAAGTTCATTTTTTAAACATGTGCTAACAATTTGTACAGCATGTATATATTTATATTGCTTCAGTTTTTCAGTGACATGCAGTCTTTGCAATCATTTCATGATAGCTTTTGAGCGTTGGCTGTAAATAGCTTGGCCATTTCTTCATCAAAGGGTGATAACTTACAGATCAACTGTTTGCGGAGTTATTTTCTCTTGGCTGATTGCCCTGTTGTCTGGTGTACACTTAGTTTCAGGCTCGTGTACGACAAAGTTTTATGCATACAATGTGAAAGTTATTTATTGCATAGTGATATCTGCACTTCATTTTACTTTGAGCGCAGCAATGTTCATTATCTACGGACACATCGCAGTAATCACAAGAAATCAGATGAAGGCTATTGCAAAGACTGCACAGCTGAACCCAGGAAAGATCTCAAGACAGTATGATAAGATTTTGTCCAGTATAAAATCTACGTGGAAACAAGTTCGAATGTTGGTTATTGTGTTCGGGGTGTACTTTTTACTCACGACACCGTTTATTTTATTGAACATTTATGTGTTCGTTGATAAAATCGACATGACGATTCATGAGACCGTGTTCAACGATCTACAATGTTCAGTGTGGAGCCAACTTTCTGAAATACTGTCTCCAAGACAGAAACTTCCGGAATGTTATATATATATATATATATATATATATATATATATATATATATATATATATATATATATATATATATATATATAAACATAAAAGGGGGTTAACTCAGAGAATCACATTTTGCGCGGTTGTTCTCTCCTGGGTTATGTCCCTCTAGTCTCTGTAAACCTGGTTTCAGAACCATGTATTGACCAACCCGTTCTATGAAAACAGTACAGACATCATATTACATAGCATGATATGTCGTTCATTTTGTGTTGAGCATATTACATAGTACGACATGTCGTTTATTTTGTGTTGAGCATATTACATAGTATGATATGTAGTTCCTTTTGTGTTGAGCATATTACAGAGTACGAGATGTCGTTCATTTTTTGTTGAGCATATTACATAGTACGATATGTCGTTCATTTTGTGTTAAGCATATTTCATATTACGACATGTCGTTCATTTTGTGTTGAGCATATTACATAGTACAATTTGTCGTTCATTTTGTGTTGAGCATATTTATCTTCGCCATCTACTGGCCAGACTGCACTTATCACAAGAAACTAAAATAACGGCTTTCAAGACGGCTGCCGAAGTAAACCCAGGAGTTTTCGAAGGTTGGCCTGATCCAATTAAAATGCTGGTAATTGTCTTTGGGTTGTAGTTTGCGATGATGACACCGGATTTATTACCAGTTATGTATGTGTGTACTCATAATGTGGAGGTAGCTGTTTGTGTGGCAGTAGTTTCCTAGACCTATCTGGAAATGCAAAATCTAAATATCGTTAAAGAACCTATCTGCCTTCTTGAAAATATTCTATGTGCCAGAGCTGATTGAGACACCCCTGCCCCACTTACTAATTTTGTTCAAAGTGCCGATGATGCAGAATCCGACACTCTAAGTGCAACTATTTGGTTAAACAAAGACAGAACCCTCATGGAAATTACAATCGTGAATCTCAGTGGCAATGTTTCAGCCAACAACTTGACACAGAATTATCACCACATTCTTCTCCTTACAGTCCATGCTGAGTGGATTCTGTAGTCATGTCTATCCTCAGCCTTCTGTCTCGTCTACTTCTAACAAAGATAATCCTCCATACCATTTTGTCAAACTATCCAGTATGTTCTCTCTTGGTCGCCCTTTGTCCTTTCCTCCCCTCCAAGATTTCCAACGTCACGATTTACTATAGTTTTCCTCTTTCCGATTATGTAACCGAAGAATGTAGATTGTCTCTTCCTGACGTAGAACCAGTTCTCGTCGTGAGTTAATTTCTGTCAAGACATCTTTATTATTCACGCTTAACAAAAAAGTGCCCAAGGTATTCTCCCCAATCGTCTGTAAAACCACATCGCTGCTTCCCACATAACGTTACACCAATCGGTCAACGGGACGTAATCTCTCCACACTAACACAACAGAAGAGAAATATGAGGCTCGCCAAACAGTAGATAGAGTGGAGACATGATCATCACACTGAGGTATAAAGAGTGACGTTGGGACCTTAACACATGGTCTCTACAAGACTGCTCAGGCTGTATGAAATGGAAGCAAGGAGCTTCATCCCGGGTCTCAACTGATATCGTCATAGGTTGTGGGCTGTGGGTTGTGGGCTGTGGTTTGTGGGCTTTGGGCAGTGAGTTGTGGGTTGTGAGCTGTGGGTTGTAGGCCGTGGGTTGTGAGCTGTGGGTTGTGGGTTGTGGGCTGTGGGCAGTGGATTGTGGGTTGTGAGCTGTGTGTTATGAGCTGTGGTCAGTGAGTTGTGAGCTGTGGGTTGTGGGCAGTTGATTGCGGGTTGTGAGCTATGGGTTGTGGGCTGCGATCAGTGGGCTGTGGGTTGTGAGCTGTAGGCTGTGGGGTGGGTTGTGGGTTGTGAGCTGTGGATTATGGGTTGGGGCCTTTGGGCAGTGGGTTGTGAGCTGAGAGCTGTGGGTTGTGGCCTGTGGGCAGTGTGTTGTGAGCTGAGAGCTGGGGGTTGTGGGTTGTGGCCTGTGGGCAGTGGGTTGTGAGTTGTGGGTTGTGAGCTGTGGATTGTGGGTTGTAGTCTGTAGGTTGTAGGCAATGGGTTGTGGGTTGTGAGCTGTGGGTTGTGGGTTGTGAGCTGTTGGTTGTGGGTTGTTAGCTGTGATCAGTGGGTTGTGGGCTGTGAGCTCTGGGCAGTGAGTTGTAGGCTGTTAGCAGTGGGTTGTGAGCTGTGGGTTGTGAGCTGTGAGTTATAGGTTGTGAGCTGTGGGTTGTGGGTTGTGAGCTGTGAGTTATAGGTTGTGAGCTGTGGGTTGTGGGTTGTGAGCTGTGGGTTGTGGGTTGTGAGCTGTGCGTTGTGGGTTGTGAGCTGTGGGTTGTGGGTTGTGAGCTGTGGGTTGTGGGTTGTGAGCTGTGGGTTGTGAGCTGTGAGTTGTGGGTTGTGAGCTGTGTGTTATGAGCTGTGGTCAGTGAGTTGTGAGCTGTGGGTTGTGGGCAGTTGATTGCGGGTTGTGAGCTATGGGTTGTGGGCTGCGATCAGTGGGCTGTGGGTTGTGAGCTGTAGGCTGTGGGGTGGGTTGTGGGTTGTGAGCTGTGGATTATGGGTTGGGGCCTTTGGGCAGTGGGTTGTGAGCTGAGAGCTGTGGGTTGTGGCCTGTGGGCAGTGTGTTGTGAGCTGAGAGCTGGGGGTTGTGGGTTGTGGCCTGTGGGCAGTGGGTTGTGAGTTGTGGGTTGTGAGCTGTGGATTGTGGGTTGTAGTCTGTAGGTTGTAGGCAATGGGTTGTGGGTTGTGAGCTGTGGGTTGTGGGCAGTGGGTTGTGAGCTGTTGGTTGTGGGTTGTTAGCTGTGATCAGTGGGTTGTGGGCTGTGAGCTCTGGGCAGTGAGTTGTAGGCTGTTAGCAGTGGGTTGTGAGCTGTGGGTTGTGAGCTGTGAGTTATAGGTTGTGAGCTGTGGGTTGTGGGTTGTGAGCTGTGAGTTATAGGTTGTGAGCTGTGGGTTGTGGGTTGTGAGCTGTGGGTTGTGGGTTGTGAGCTGTGCGTTGTGGGTTGTGAGCTGTGGGTTGTGGGTTGTGAGCTGTGGGTTGTGGGTTGTGAGCTGTGGGTTGTGAGCTGTGAGTTGTGGGTTGTGAGCTGTGGGTTGTGGGCTGTGGGTTGTGGGCTGTGGGTTGTGGGCTGTGGATTTTGGGTTGTGAGCTGGGAGCAGTGGATTGTGATCTGTGGGTTGTAAGTTGTGAGCTGCGGGTTGTGGGTTGTGGGCTGTGGGTTGTGGCTTTTGACCTGTGGCCTTTGGGTTGTGAGCTGTGGGTTTTCGCCTGTGGGCAGTAGGTTGTGGGTTGTTGGGTGTGGTCATTGGGAGCACTGGGTCACCAATGTCTGTCCAAAACGCATTCAGCTTTTGAGAATGACTTGTTCCCACAAGCTGTGTTTTTTTTAGCGCTGTCTTTCAATGACAGGTAGACAACCAGAAACTATATCAATCAAAGTAAATGACACAGAGATAAAAAAAAAAAAGAATTTAAATATCTCAGGTCAAATTTCCCAAATAAGTAATACAAAAATTACCCCACGGGGTTTCAAAAAAAAAAAAAAAAAACAAGGTCGTGAGACAACAAATACCAGTTTTGACTCTTAGACGTATACATTGTCTATCAAGTCGAATCTAAAAAAATGCATTCACTAACCAACTTTACGAATCAAACACGGGCTCTTACTCAAAACTAATGAACAGAAACTCATAATAAGAGTAATACGATGTCTTATAGTCCGTTCAGAAATTCACGAACACGTTGGCAATGTATTTTCTCAAAAAACTGCCTGTTAGATATCAAGGATTTTTTTGCATGCAGCATTTGAATGTCCACGACAAAAAATAGTGCTTTTCTTTAGTCCATACATACAAAGGAATCATAGCAAATAAGCAGAATAAAATTTTACATTTTACAGTAAACTTTATATTTCAAATTCAAGTTCACCTTTTAGTTTGTTTTCAGAGACGAATCTTCACAATCAATGATGATCTATCCAGACCAAGCACCAGTTTTGTTCGTTTCCCTGGGTGAATGATCACATATAATCACATATAAATGAAAAATCTTATGTTGCCGGCAGAATTGTTGGTACGGTAAACCTTCTGCAGTTATAAATCGACACCTCAAACTAATGAAATTGATGTCTCTCTCAGTTTCGATCAGCCAGATATATGGCACATTCAGTAGAGTTGAGTCAAGAATTGACATCACAGCACTCAGGGCATATATGGCACAATAATTCAACAATAATTTGTGGATACACCTTTAACTAAACTGCCGTGACCTACATCCTATTTTGTGCTCCGTTCACTTACATGCACTATGTGTGAATTTGCACACAAAAATCGTGAAATAACATAGTTTTCTTTTGATCCCCTTTGAACCCGTTTTAGTGCGCTTTTTAACATACTTTTAACATACTAAGGAAAATACACCTTTCAAAACTCTACCAGGATGGTTTCATGATAAAAATATATATCGTTAAAAATACATTTGATATTCTTTTTAGTGACAAATATTTGCTTAACGTCATCAATGACTGGAGTGAGCATACCAACTTTCATTACAATTAGTCCTCTAGTTTCCAAAATATTAAGGTCTATCCATGCTCATGAATTTCTGAACGGAATTTATAGAAGAGCTGCCAGTGTGATAGAAAGAAGTGAAATGGAAAAAAAAAGAAGAGAAAAAAAAAACCGAAAACTTGACTGAGATGGAAACCAGGTAAGCAGTGTATTAAAGCACAATAGATGAGATGGTTCGGCCATGTGACGGGAATGTCATAATACCAGCAGCCACAGAGAGCCACACTGAAAAGCCCACGACCTTTTTGGTCCGCGGCGAGAGTCTAGCCGCTCGGCCACGGCGACTCCCCCACTGATAATTACGGGATTATTACGTGATAAAGTCCCAATCTCTTCCACGTTACAACTGTCTGAAAGCCGCAAGAAAGATCTTTTTTTTTTTTTTTGAAACCGCCAGCCGCTGGAATCAAATCCTGGTAATCAACGAGGATTGCTTCGAGTTCTTCTCATATCCTAATGTTGTTTTGTGGATCATGGGAATCACCGGCCATGGCGATAGCGAGTCTGACTGGCAAGAGATTCCCCTTTAGAATTTCAGGACCGTTGTTCCCATCATGTATGTTTCATATGCTTCTGTTCCCATCACGTATGTTTCATATGCTTCTGTTCCCATCACGTATGTTACATATGCTTCTGTTCCCATCACGTATGTTTCATATGCTTCTGTTCCCATCACGTATGTTTCATATTCTTCTGTTCCCATCACATATGTTACATATGCTTCTGTTCCCATCACGTATGTTTCATATGCTTCTGTTCCCATCACGAATGTTTCATGTGCTTCTGTTCCCATCACGTATGTTTCATGTGCTTCTGTTCCCATCACGTATGTTTCATGTGCTTCTGTTCTCATCACGTATGTTTCATATGCTTCTGTTCCCATCACATATGTTTCATGTGCTTCTGTTCCCATCACATATGTTACATATGCTTCTGTTCCCATCACATATGTTACATATGCTTCTGTTCCCATCACGTATGTTTCATATGCTTCTGTTCCCATCACGTATGTTTCATGTGCTTCTGTTCCCATCACGTATGTTTCATGTGCTTCTGTTCTCATCACGTATGTTTCATATGCTTCTGTTCCCATCACATATGTTTCATATGCTTCTGTTCCCATCACATATGTTTCATATGCTTCTGTTCCCATCACGTATGTTTCATATTCTTCTGTTCCCATCACGTATGTTTCATGTGCTTCTGTTCCCATCACATGTGTTTCATATTCTTCTGTTCCCATCACGTATGTTTCATGTGCTTCTGTTCTCATCACGTATGTTTCATATGCTTCTGTTCCCATCACGTATGTTTCATATGCTTCTTTCCAGACACTCAGCTCTCATACTTTCTGCAGTCATTTGTTTCCCCTTTCTTCCTATTCACTACCTGGTTTTCCCCTTGCTCTTAACACGGTCCTTGTTATTTTATTTCTAGAAATCTAACTAATACCTGTATCGATCATGCCCCGCTTTTTTAGAGATGCTTACAGCCTCCTAAATGCCAGGCTATACCTATGATCACGTGACTGTGTCCAACGGCTGGACTCTCCTGCAAGATGGTGGTAGCCAGGTCTTCATGACAAACTATTGGAGGACATGCCTGAAGTCTCTGTCTTGGAGAGAGTATGTCAGAAAGTTCGAGCCACACTGAGCATGGGAGATCAATGAGATAACATTGGCAATAATAGTTTGATAAAACTGTAAATCTATATTATGAATGTAAATATAAATATTCATGATTACATACGGTGTCATGGGTAAAAGGTACACCCCGAACACAGTCACCAGCATCGGAACTTGTTGCCATGTAGATTTAATATTCGAGATCATTCTATTTGTGTCTCGTGCTGAGTTTCCCCCATTGCCGACTGAAAACTTCTTGAAATCCCTGGCCTGATTTCTTGTGATAACTGCAATATGGCAGTAGATACCGAAGATAAACGTGCTTGAAATAAAATGAAATAACGAGAGAACTAAGGAATAGTTAACTCTTACGTTGTTTTCGAAAATCTTACCAGAAAATTTTCCAGAATCTAAGTTGACATCGCCAAGCAAGGCTATAACCCAGGAGAGAATAACTCCACAGAATGTTGACTTGAGAGTGACCACCCTTTGATGTAGAAATGGCCGAGCTATGTACAGACAGCGTTCAGAAGCAATCAGAAAGTGGGTACAGAGACTACATGTTATGGAGAAACTAAAAAGGTATAAATAACTCCAGTCGAAATCACGATAAAACACATAAGTGTGTGCTGCGATAAACATTAGGACGGCGTTGACATTGATCTCCACAGAGAGAACCAAATTGCTGGAAGCCAGCAAAACGCTGAACATGTTTGCAAAAGTATTGCTGGATTGCTGGAAGCCAGCGAAACGATGAACATGTTTGCAAAAGTATGTAACCGCCCGCATCTGGCCACAGCCACGATAATAACAATATTTAAGAATATTGAGATACAATTAATAAAGATATTCACATTCCCGATGATGACTCCGGCAGTTGACTGCGATGTTCTGTTGACCATTCACCCAAAGGTTAAATTTTCTGTTGAATACGTCATCATTAGCGTGGTCTTCTATTGTTTAAATACTTTGTTTAAATTACTTCTTCTTCTTTTGTCAAAATCTGCTTGTGCCGCTAGGCGTCGCAGTCTATCAGATGATCAGCAACCGAGCCAGGGCGCGCTCAGTCGCTTCATATGCCGTGATGTTATGAAGTCTCAAGTTGTCCGTGACTCCTTCAATCCATCTTCTTCTTGGTCTTACCCTGCCTCTTGGTGTTTCGATTTTCATGTTGTATGCTCTTGATGCTGGCATCGTTGGTTCCATTCTCATTAGGTGACCAAACCATTGTTTAAATTACTAAATTTGCTAATCTCCATTATCAGCGTTTAATATATTTAGCACTTATTTTTGTATGGTCACTAGCAGACATCTAGCATTCAGTTTTTTTTAATCGTTAAGAATTAAACTATTGATGCTGCTTTCATACCGTTTCCTTCCATACTGTAAAAACTCGAAAGTTTATATTATCTACTCTACAGAAACAATTAAAAAAAAAAAAAAAAAAAAAACAGCAAAATTGTCAATGCATTAGTTTCACAAGTGATTCAGTTTTAAAATAGTATGGACACTCTTGCAGATTTCTTTATTGTTCTCCGCACGTGTCAGCTGCTATGCTGAGAACCATTTATGCGAAGACAGAAGACTGTGAAGAATGTTCTCGTATTGTCTTCTGCTTGCTCTCTTTTCACAAATCTTTTCAGTGGTCACGATATGTTCCAGCTTTCCTCTTCTCATAACATGGATATCTTGACGACTGTTTCCTTTTGAAGTGTGTGATAAGCTGTCTTGTTTGGTCAGTATCTGTGTAACAGTTTAACTGACGATAGGTAGCTGAGCTAGATCATGCTGGGTTGCTTGGCAATCTGTGATGTTTGAAGTCTTACGTTGTCATTGAAGTCTTCAGTTCATTTTTTCCCAGGTCTCCCTCTGCCTTTTGTTGTTTCTATTTTAATGTTGCACGTTCTCGTGGTCGACCTCGTCTGATTCATTCGTGTCATCCTCTGAGACAACCAGTTGTCTTTTATCAGCCGAAGACAATTAGAAGAGTAGATACTATGGACAGTAAGTCTCCGCCAGTAAATCAGGAATGATGTTGGTGTCCAGTGATGTTCAGTGGTGTCCAGTGATGTCCAGTGATGTCCAGTGATGTTAAGTGATGTCCAGTGATGTCCAGTGATGTCCAGTAGTGTTCAGTGATGTCCAGTGATGTCCAGTGATGTTCAGTGATGTCCAGTGATGTCCAGTGATGTCCAGTGATGTCCAGTGATGTTCAGTGATGTCCAGTGATGTCCAGTGATGTCCAGTGGTGTTAAGTGGTGTTCAGTGGTGTCCAGTGGTGACCAGTAATGTCCAGTGGTGTTAAGTGGTGTTCAGTGGTGTCCAGTGGTGTCCAGTGGTGTTCAGTGGTGTCCAGTGGTGACCAGTAATGTCCAGTGGTGTCCAGTGGTGTCCAGTGGTGTCCAGTGGTGTTAAGTGGTGTTCAGTGGTGTCCAGTGGTGTTCAGTCGTGTCCAGTTGGCTTGAAGTACACTGCCTACACAGCAAACATCGAGTTGTCGATAAGAATAGTTAATCACATAGACAAAGTCTACGAACATTTTATGGTTCAAGGACAAATTGTTTTCTCTATCGAGCAATTCACTAGTATGTTAACTGACTAGAAGTCTGGAAAAAAAGGGAAAAGAAATGGTCTACACAGCAAAATTAAATTAATATGAACATCTAAAATATGGGCATAATTTCAGTAAAATTAATCTAATCGGGAGCACAGGGTCGATTTCTAAAACTGTTGTGGCCTACAATGGGTACTAGGAAATGTCAGTGAAAGTCAAGGGTGCAGGTAACATCACCAGGCAAATACAGGTAGATAGATAGATATATACAAATTTGATTTTAGCTCAATTTGGTCTATGGTCGTCTAGGTTTGAAACCGGTCGTTAACTACATTACTTACTTAGAGGAGCCCACACAGAGACGTCCCTAAAGTATATAGAATTATGTAGCGCCACCTCCCAAAGGTACACGTTGGTTTTTACAGCCACGTAAAGTGTGCAGTGGAGGTTGCAATGGAGGTGTGCAATGGAGGTGTGCAATGGAGGTGTGCAATGGAGGTGTGCATTGGATGTGTGCAATTTGCGGGAAACGAGGCGCAGGCCGACCTTCGCAAACGTATATAAAGACATCAATGATTCACTGGCTATGAAAGCACATAGGGCTGGCGAACTGGCTAGCGACAGAGACGCTTCCCGTGAAGAAAACGACGTTCTGTAAAAGATATGTTGATTGACTGATTAATAAATCCAGCAACCACAGAGATTTTGCTGTCAATTCTCCAGTTCTGCTTTTTCTAAATGTATTTAAAAATAAAATACATTTTGGGAAGTTGTTCTAAGATGAAAGTCTAATCTGTCGATCTGTCAATAACGACGTATATAATGCATCGAAAAAAATCACTTCTATTGTCGTCACACTGTTACCAGATTGTAGTCCAGTATTGTGGTTAAAACATAAATACCATTTCTAATTTCAACCAATCAGTTGACACCCTCGACTTGACTGCTTGCAGGTGAAAACTTTGGTTCGGTGTGACTGTACGTAGACACGTTACTTTTCGCTGCATGAAAACTTTGTCTAGCACTCGCAACGTCGGCTGATAACACAGATCGACAAACAACCACTGCTTTCAGTATAATTGCAGACTTGGACAGCTGTGCCAATATAATACGAAAATTTTACTAATTTATTTAATTTGTTTTCCCTACACACACACAAAAGTTAGTGAATCAATAAGCAAATCGATTGTGGAGTTAATAGCTAGTACAACTGTCTGTAAGACAAGTTGTCCATTGTTCCTATCTCCCTTGGGGCCAGTATGTCCCCCTTCCTTGTCCCTATTTACCTGTGCTCCGAGGCCGACCGATACTGTAGGTTCCAGGAAATTATATTTAGGAAATAAAGTCGTCAGACTTAATATTAGCTGTATCGTGTGCCAATTGGTCTAAACAAAAAATTGCATTAACCCCATATTAGAGTGACATTAAGGTTGGTGGTTTTAATTTCATAAGTGTGGTTTTAATAAGATGGTTTTAAATTGGGTGGATTTGATAAGGGAGATTTTAATAAAGGTGGTTTTAATTTCAGTTGAAAGGATTCATTTGTATGCTTTCTTTGAATAAATATTTCTGCAGCATGCACTTGAAAGATGCAGCGAAACATGTCAGGGAATAACTTGTTTATTCGGTTGTGTGTTTGTATGTGTTTAAATTCATAACAGACAAACAACACATTTGTATCACGTGACAGAGGCAATTGGATTAACTCTTCCACTAAAACTATACATTTTAAATTTCAGACAGTACTGTCTGAGAACATGTCTAAAGTCTCTGTCCTGAAGACAGTATGTCAGGAAGTTGGCTCCACACTGAGCATGGGAGATCAGTGTCACAGCCTTCCCGATGTTGTCGTTGTATAACACCAAACTGATTTCATGGACACACACGTATACATTCGTTACTATATATGGTGTCGTGAGAACAAAGTAGACCCCGAACACAATAACCAACATTCGAACTTGTTTCCATGTCGACTTTAAATTCGAAAGGATTGGATCCAGTTCTCTTTTTGAGTTTTCTGTATGTGTTGCGGTAGTTTTCTTGATTGCCCTCGTCTGATCTCTTGTTATTAATGCGATGTGGCCGTAGATTATGATCATGAAAATGCTTACAATAAAGTGAATGACAGGAATTACAAGGCAATAGTTTATCTTGGATCGGCTTTCGAAGAATGTGGCAGCACATGGACCAGAAATTAAATTAACACTGCAAATGAAGGCTATAACCCAGGAAAGGATAACTCCACACAATGTTGATCTGTACGTTATCATCCTGTGATGTAAAAATGGCTTGGCAATATACAGCCAACGCTCTGAAGCGATCATTAAATGATTGTAGGCACTTGTTGTCATTGAGAAACTGTAAACAAAAGCATAAATGCAAACGGTAAGGGTGTGGAGTGCAGATTTGTAACATGAAATTAACATAATTATCATTTTGATATCTGTGACAATTGCCAGGAAGAGGTTACTCGCTGCCAGAGAGGAGATGAAAACGTTGGAAACTGTGTGCAGACGTTGGTTTCGTAACACGGCCACAATGATGAAGATGTTCAACACAATGGAAGAAGTAACCAGGAGTATGTCCAACACTGCAATGGTTACTGCATCAGCTGGGGGAGATGTTTCCTTGTAGGCAGATGTCAGATTATCCACACACCAGCCCATTTGTGCGTAGTTCTTCAAATAGTCGCAGTTTCAACTTCAAGGCAAATGGGTCACCTTATAATTGCTCCAATCGTGTCCTGGGGAAAACAACAAGTGCCAGTCGCTTGTGAACAGAAAAATGGACACAGACTAGTCTCTTAAAGCCAGTAGCACACACTGTTACTGAACGCACAAGGCAGTCGTTAGAAACGCCAACACAAATAGTCCACACTAAAACTGTAGTTCATCGTCAATTGAAGTAGCGGATACAACAAATCAACAGTTACGGACACAGTTTTGAATGCAGTAATGCATAAGGCACCACCACTTTTATGACAACATGCCACCCTCCATTTTCGAAAATCTGCAGTTCACAATAAAAGCCACCTTGGACAAAGTGGAGAAGCATTCTAAGTGAAATCCACATTTGTGGTGATTGGTCGCAGAATGACGATCTTCAGACAGTCAATGTGTAGCCAATGTTTAATCCAAGGCTGCCTGACAAGGCTGTCTCATACTCCAACGGATTAAATTGTTGCTTTCATTACATAATCAAAAATTTCACGATCAATTTAACATAAATAGTTTTAACAGTGATGTCACCGAATCCGAAACTGCGACGGAGATCAACTCCGCTGGAGGCCATGTTGAATTAAAACTGCACACAGAGGGAGACCTGTCCTTGTCGGTGGCTGGGAGCTATAGACGGACAATCTTCCGCCAGTCATTGTTTAGTTATCACTTCCCTGGCACACATGTCTTTATCCACATAACAAATGTCACTGTCTCTGTTGTCAAAGCGTAACTCTTTGTCACTAAAGTCGGTAGAGCACTTCCAAAGAGAGAACAACATGTAATTTCCTCCACACTGTATGCACAATGAGCCACGTCCGGTTACTACAGCAACTAACCGACCAATCACACAGCTTGCTGTAATGACTGCTAATGGGATAGACAGATGATGGCGTCTACATAAATAGTAGTTGTTGTGACTGTATCTGGATACAGGACATTTCGCTGAATAAACACCTGGGTCTAGCACTAGCAACAGCGGCTGACGACACAGATCAACAAACAACCACTGCTTTTAATATAACTGCAAACTTGGACAGCAGTGCCAGTATAATACAACAATTACACGAATTTATTTTAGTTTTAAAAAAAAAACGAATCAAAAAGCCATTCGATAGTGGAGTTAATGGCTAGTACATCTGTCTGTAAGCCAAGTTGTCCATTGTTCCTGTATCCCTTGGGGCCAGTATTTCCCCTTCCCTTGTCCCTATTTACCTGTGCCCCAAGGCTGACCGATACTGTAGGCTCCAGGAAAATATTTAGGAAATAAAGTCGCCTGATATAATATTGGCTGTATCGTGTGCCAACTGGTCTAAACAAAAAATTGCATTAATACCATATGAGAGTGACATTAAGGTTAATGGTTTTAATTTCATAAGGTTGGTTTTAGTAAGATGGTTTTAATAGGCTGGGTTTAATAAGGGTGGTTTTAATTTCAGTTGAAATGATTAATTTGTTTGCTTTCTTTGAATAAATATTTCTACAGCATGCACTTGAAAGATACAGCGAAACATGTCAGGGAATAACTTGTTTATTCGGTTGTGTGTTTGTATGTGTTTGAATTCATAACAGACAAACAACACATTTGTATCACGTGACAGAGGCAATTGGATTAACTCTTCCACTAAAACTAGATATTTTAAATTTCAGACAGTACTGTCTGAGAACATGTCTAAAGTCTCTGTCCTGAAGACAGTATGTCAGGAAGTTGGCTCCACACTGAGCATGGGAGATCAGCGTCACAGCCTTCCCGATGTTGTCGTTGTACAACACCAAACTGATTTCATGGACATACACGTATACATTCGTTACTATATACGGTGTCGTGAGAACAAAGTAGACCCCGAACACAATAACCAACATTCGAACTTGTTTCCATGTCGACTTTAAATTCGAAAGGATTGGATCCAGTTCTCTTTTTGAGTGTTCTGTATTCATAGAGGTAGTTTTCTTGATAGCTCTCGTCTGATTTCTTGTTATTAATGCGATGTGGCCGTAGATTATGATCATGAAGGTGCTTAAAATAAAGTGAATGACAGGAATTACAAGGCAATAGTTTATCTTTGATCGGCTTTCGAAGAATGTGGGAGCACATGGACCAGAAATTAAATTAACACTGCAAAAGAAGGCTACAACCCAGGAAAGGATAACTCCACACAATGTTGATCTGTACGTTATCACCCTGTGATGTAAAAATGGCTTGGCAATATACAGCCAACGCTCCGAAGCGATCATTAAATGATTGTAGGCACTTGTTGTCATTGAGAGACTGTAAACAAAAGCATAAATGCAATCGGTAAGGGTGTCGAGCACAGGTTTGTAACATGAAATTAACATAATTATCATTTTGATATCTGTGACAATTGCCAGGAAGAGGTTACTCGCTGCCAGAGAGGAGATGAAAACGTTGGAAACTGTGTGCAGACGTTGGTTTCGTAACACAGCCAAAAGGATTAAGACGTTTAACACAATGGATGAAGTAACCAGGAGGATGTCCAACACTGCAATGGTTACTGCATCAGCTGGGGGAGGTGTTTCACTGGAGGCAGATGTCACATTATCCACACACCAGCCCATTTGTGTGTAGTTATTCAATTAGCCGCAGTTTCAACTTTAAGGCAAATGGGTCACCTTATAAATGCTCCAATCGTGTCCCAGAGAAAACAACAAGTGCCCGTCGCTTGTGAACAGAAAAATGGACGCAGACTACATTCTCGTAAAGCCTGGTATTAAACGCACAAGGCAGTCGTTAGAAGTGCCAACACAAATAGTCCACACTAAAACTGTAGTTCATCGTCAATGGAAGTAGCAGTCACAACAAATCTACAGTGACAACACAATTTTGAATACTGTAATGCATAAGGCACCACCACTTTTACGAGAACATGCCACTTTCCATTTTTGAAAACCTGCAGTTCACAATAAAAGCCAACTTGGAGGCAGTGGAGAAGCATTCTAAGTAAAATCCACATTTATGGTGATTGGTCAGAGAATGAAGATTTTCAGACAGTCAATGTGTAGCCAATGTTTAATCCAAGGCTGCCTGACAAGGCTGTCTCATACTCGAACGGATTAAATTGTCGCTTTCATAACATAACGACAAATTTCCCGATCAATTTAACATAAAAAGTTTTAAAAGTGATGTCACCGAATCCGAAACTGCGACGGAGACCAACTCCGCTAGAGGCCATGATGATTAACACTGCACACAGATAGAGACCTGTCCTCATATGTGGCTGCGAGCTGTAGATGGATAATCATTGTTAAGTTATCACTTCCCTGGCACACATTTCTTTATCCACATAACAAATGTCACTGTCATTATTTCCAAAGCGTAACCCAATGTCACCAGAGTCAGTACAGCACGTTTAAAGAGAGAACAAAATGTCATTTCTCCCACACTGTATGCACAATGAGCCACGTAGGGTTACTACGGCAACCAACCGACCAATCGCACAGCTTGCTGTAATGAATGGTAATGAGATAGACAAATGATGGCGTCTGCATTAGTAGTAATTGTTGTGTGGCCTATTCTTAATTAAGGGACAGTGATGGCGCAGTAGCTGACGCTCGCGTGCGGTCGTGAAGGTCTTTCGTTCAATTTACATCTAGGCTAATTTTTGTAACTGAAGCGGGCTTGTTATTATGCATTGTTATGTTCTTAGCTTCTTTGATATAATCAGGAAATGAAAATTAATAAGAAATAAAACTAATGCCGGTGGACGGCCTTTATATGAACAAATGAATTTTTGTTGTTTTGTTTGCGTTTGCCCGTTTTAAAACCCAGCGAAAAGACCTGGTGGTTTCTGGATTTTAGCTTTTTTCATGCACCTGAGCTTTGCATGTGCAAAGCTGCCAACACTCTCTGGCTATATTTGTGTTCTCGTTTATTTGCGCCACTTTCCTGGCAGTCTGATATTTTCACTGTCTCTGGGCTTAATGCGTCTTTCCTCCATGTCAGACCGCAATCATTTATAATTTTTAAATTTTGATTATTTTACTTTGCCGAAAAGTACTGAAAACAGTTTTTGGGTTTGGATAGACCCAAAATGTGAAAAACAAAATTCCTTCAGTAGCCTCTTATGACATGTTTCTTTTGGGGAAGCAGTGTTGTCTATTCTTGTTTTCTCCACAATGGAACCCACGCTAAGATTATTTGTTTTAAAAGTGTCACCAGTTGCGTAGTTAGATCCGTCATACCTTTGAGCCTTCCAACAACTTATTTGTCATAAAGCAGTTGTATTGTTATACAATTCATGTCAAAAGAATGTACTGAAAGGGCAGAATGTTAGACGGGCCTGGGTGCCCAATTCTAAACCCTTAAAAAAAATTTGTTTGTTCGTTTGTTTTATCTGTTTGCCTGCCTGCCTGCCTGCCAATTTGCCTGTCTGCCTGCCTGCCTGTCTATCTGTTTGTCTGCCTGTCTATCCGTCTGTCCGTCCGTCCATCCGTCCGTCTGTCTGTCTGTCTGTCTAACAAGCTATTGTATCGGTAATATTTCAATAAATGAATATGCTAATGGATGCAAAACATCGATTTGTTCGTTTACATTTTTATTAAAAGAAATAACAAAGAATGTGTCAACAGGAAACATACATTATACTAAATAATCCTCTAAAACAGGATAAACAATATGTCTGCAGCAGACATACATTATACTAAATAATCCTCTAAAACAGGATAAACAATATGTCAGCAGGAGACATACATTATACTAAATAACCCTCTAAAACAGGATAAACAATGTGTCAGCAGAAGACATACATTATACTAAATAACCCTCTAAAAAGGATAAACAATGTGTCTGTAGGAGCACTTAAAATATACTAAATAATCCTCTAAAACAGGATAAACCATGTGTCTGTAGGAGCACTTAAAATATACTAAATAATCCCCTTAAACAGGATAAACAATATGTCTGCAGGAGACATACATTATACTAAATATTCCTCTAAAACAGGATAAACAATGTGTCTGTAGGAGCACTTAAAATATACTAAATAATCCTCTAAAACAGGATAAACAATATGTCTGCAGGAGCACTTAGAATATACCATATAACCCTCTTAAATAGGATAAACAATATTAAAATGAAATTGCATTTGAGGACGAGAACTTACCTTTATGAGGTCACTGCACACTGCGAGGTCTTAGGTTTTAGCATTTGTAATGTATAATAAATTCGGTACAGCTTGCAGTACACAACATCTTAGAAACTATCTGGAGTACACCCGAACTTGCAGCACACAACATCTTAGAAACTATCTGGAGTACATCCGGACTTGCAGTACACAACATCTTGGAAACTTTCTGGAGTACATCCGGACTTGCAGCACACAACATCTTGGAAACTATCTGGAGTACACCCGAACTTGCAGCACACAACATCTTGGAAACTATCTGGAGTACACCCGAACTTGCAGCACACAACATCTTGGAAACTATCTGGAGTACACCCGAACTTGCAGCACACAACATCTTGGAAACTATCTGGAGTACACCCCAACTTGCAGCACACAACATCTTGGAAACTATCTGGAGTACCCCCGAACTTGCAGCACACAACATCTTGGAAACTATCTGGAGTACACCCGAACTTGCAGCACACAACATCTTGGAAACTATCTGGAGTACATCCGGGTGGTGCAGAATACCTTTAAATAGTTTGCTACTGGCTATGCGAAATGCTATTTTATTCACAATCCACTGTGGTAATAATACTGTTCTCTACTATCTATCTGGAAGCAGTCAAAAGATCTCACCCGGGATTGCAGTCTGGTGAATTCACATCTCAGGTACAAGAATCACATAGCTATAAATCCTGGAAACCAAGTTCGACTGTATAACCATAGAAAACAGTAACAAAAGAATTTGTAAAAGACCCTTTTCCATGCCTTGAGGCTCATTTGGGCACATAGGGCTAGACCTATATTTTATAGATCTATCAGCCCAGGGTGGATGAATTGATAAAAATCGTGTCGATTGCCTTTACTTCCCAGGACTCTAGGAGGTACCCTTTTAAGGCTGGGTCGACCTGGGAGCCAAGGTCATTTCTTGAAAAAAAAAAAAAAAAATTAAAGAAAAATTGGGTTCTACCAGCTAACTGAGCTGAGGCCTCTGTTGACGTTTCTGAGGTCAACAATTTTGTTTTCAGTGCAGACAAATGCTCTATACACAACACGTGACCTGGGTTTACTGTTTATCGGCTGCAACATTTGCGCAATCAATCAGTTTTGAAACAAGACCAGGCACCGGGGGGATTTACTTTAAGTAACAATTAACCGCTAGAGTTTATCGTCATGACAACAATTTTATCGTTGTAACCAACTAGGTTTGGTTGTAATTCAAAAATACATTGCACAAGTGACTCCATTACTGGTAGGTAGAATCTCTGATGTACTGCGAGCCTAGCCGGGCTCTATGCTTGCACTCGAGATGAACTGAAATATTACTGCGAGCTGGATAACTGAGGTATGTTACACAAATTATACTATAAATTAACACTAATAACAATTATTGTTTTTTTTTTTTTGTAAGGCATAATAATTATTGTCATCGTTATCATCATCATCATCATCATCATCATCATCATCATCATGGGCGTTGACGATTGACGTAGTTGATCATACCTCTCCACAATCTGTGATTTTCAACAGCGTGTGCCTTTTCGAGAGTTGACACCCCTCCACGCCACGACAAAACGCTGTCAAGAATCTTCTTGCGTTGTCTTCATGTGTCTTTTTTCACCACAGATCTTTTCAGTGGTGACAACATCTTCCTGTATTCTTCTTCTTATAACATGGGAAAAGCAGGTGATGTTAATTTTTGGCGTCCGCTGTTGGATCAGCCATTGTCATAAAGAACAAATAGGCTCACGTACAAATGGATTGTTTAACGAGCAGCCCTTAGTCACACAGGGCTGCTGCTTGTTACAGCACGCAGGTGTACTGGTAACCTAATTATAACTTCCTTACAGGTTGAACGGGGTATTTGGGATCTGTGATGGTGGCTTGAACTTAGGTTTCTGTATTCTCAAATGTTAGGCAACAGGTCAAAAGGGAAGAAAGAAAGGAAGAAGTAAATTAAATAAGATAATTGTGACAAAAGATGGTTAACCCGACCCTGCATGTAAAGAAGGCAAAAAACCTTCTGGAGACACGAAAGTCGTAAACTTAACGGAAAAATTACACGTAGACAGTCGGTGTTTTCGGTCATGTTATGAGAGGAAATGGAATCAAGGGCTTGCAACAACTGGAAAAATTAATGCAAAAAGAAGCAAGTGCAAGGTCAATAATAATATTAATAATATATCTATATTAATAAAAATGTTAATTTTTCGAGTTTGTTAACTATAGACTCGGAAACTACTGAACCGATTGCTTTCAAATTTTCACACAACGTTGCCTAGACTCAGAGCAGGATTTTTTGGTCAGAAAATCGCACAAACCAGGAACGACGTAGCTCCAGCAACGGTCATATCATTATTTGTTTCGTTGCCCGCCCGGATTTGTTTTTAGTTGATTGGTCATTTTTGACTGCTGGGCTCTTTTTGAACTTTGCATTACTATATAATTTCA